GAGAATGGTCTTACACGATTCGAATTGCAGGGAAACAGCTCGTGCACCGTCAGCGGTGGTGTACCTGCGATGCCAATTTTGTTTTTAATTCGTAAAATGAATAACGATTTTATTTTCATGTCTTTTGATAGAATTAGGTTTATTTGTTGAKTGAATAAGTGTCTTAAAATATTGACTTATATTTTATTTAATATTATACTTTGGTACTATGCGTCTCACTTAACCTCTATAAAGCTAGGTATGTGTGTATAAGCTTGACTCGTCATTTTTTGTTTTTCGTTTTCATTTTCCGTTGTTGTTCTTTCCATTTAAAATCGAACATATAACGTTATAATTTTACTGCATAGTTGGTAATATCTCAAGATGTTTTTTTAATGGGATTTGCTAGTATTTAAAAATTTTAATACGAGGTATCCATTTTGAAAATCTTTACTCGTTGATTATAAATTATAATATTATATAGGTACATTAATTTAATATATTATTATACGTTCGAACGTCTAAAAACTGCAGTAAAAACGTCCCGTAAACATTATCGTCGACCAGACTCTTATTGTTGATAAAGTGTAATCGTTTTACGAATGTTATGGTATGCGTTTGCTTTCGAATAATTGACGACGATTAATGGTTCATCGTGAAGCTATACAGACACTATAATACCGTCGTGCGGTCTCCGTTGCAAGTCGTAATCCTTTCGGTTTTATTAAATTTAAACTGTTTCCGTTCTCGCGCCGATAGCACACGTGGCATTTTATAATCGCTCGATAACGTATAACGTATAACTGCGACCTTTAATCCCCTCAGAACTTCACTRATTTACAGCATGTGTATACAAACACATATTTCAAATGAACAATTTACAATATTATACAGGATGATTCATTTAGCATGCTCATCCCCGTTTTTTATTTAACAATGATTTTATTCAAACTCTAATTKTTGGTGTTTATAAATAAACCTATTCAAGACCATATGATTTCTAAAATTATTGAGATTTTTTGTACTACTTAAGAAGTGTTCTGTGGTGGAACAGACTTCTATTTTTCAWTTGAAATTCCACTTTTTTCACTGTGAGTTATTATTATAGATAGATAATTATTTTGTTTAAAATGTTGATATATCTTATTCAAAATTAAAACGAGTGAATGTTCATTTATTAAAATGTTTAAGCTAAAGTCTAAGGATAATAGTTTTTAAAAGTAAATTTAGAAAAATGAGATGAATTGGTTTTATACTTTTATATGTATAATATATATAAGTCCATTTTTACGAGTTGATGAATTAATACAAGCTTATATATTCATTATAGCTCCCATAACTTCTATATACAAAAAAATGTGGACCTTTMATATTTATTATCTTTACAGTACACAAAGTTAAATAAATCAAAAACCAAGTACTCATTCCAATTTTGATTTTGATAGTCAAATTCCATAAAATTATTCACCAAATAATTTATAGTAGAAAATAAGGAGACATTCGTTTAAAAAATAGAAAATTATATCACCACACACTATTCTTAAGTAGAGCAAAAAATCTTTAAAATTTGAAAGTATGTTTTGGACAAGTGACTATATTTATAAATTCCAAAAATCATATTTTGGAAAACTATTTTTGACGGAAAAATGGTCGAGCGTGGTTGGTGAATCATATCGTATGCCAATAATAGTTCACCTACATAAATATTATATATTATTCGCACAATATCATGCCGATGAGGTTTTTCTTCGCGCGCGTGCAAATTCCTTCCGTTATTGTTTTATCTGCTCGTAACCTACACACKTATCCGTACAATACATTGTACATTTTATTATAATATTATATTAGTGCCACCGCCGCCGCCGGACATATTACACACGCGTATGCAAATCCGAATGGTACACGGTCGGCACGTCGTCGTCGCCGTGTCCGCATAACCCAAACAACCTTTTTTCTTTCTTTTTTTACGATTCTACTTCGCCGCCAAGCGTTGCGCTATTAATGTTATTATTATTATTATTATTTAGTGTACGATACGGTGGTCAGGACGTATCAGGCGCATAATATCCATATATATATATACGCGTAGGGTGCGGTGAAAAATCGACAATAATAAGTATTAATAACAATAAAGCGACGGCGTCGGCGGCGTTTACTCTCGTCCGGTACGAAATACAATTTTCGTTTTGCATTTTTTCACCCGAAAAACCCTCCGCAGTTTTTGCGTCGTAAATTCCGCATCACTTGGCATCGACAATAAATTATAATAAACGTCTCTACCCTTACCCACCCACCCATCCACCCACCATCGTATTATTATACCCAATCTGCCCTGCACAGCGCAGCGGTATACTCGCTTTGTTTTAGACTGTCGAACGAATTAATAACAACTGTGTATATCACAATGTTATATTATTATTATTACTACTATTTACTACCTACTATACTGTTTTCGGTTTTCCGGCGACTTTAATTCGTGTTGCCGGGAAGCCCCTAGCCGTGCCACCATCCGTGTTCGTTGAACTGTTAAATTGGTCGATTGTTATTGCTTCCTGTAGGGGTGGTGTGCGGCGTTTGTGATGTGCTATAGTGGATTTTTTAAAATATTTTTTATGTTTACTCGCACCGACCAAAGAGTCGTATATTTTGTGTGGTCCGAAATATGTATAAGCTGCCGCACTACCGGGGACTCCGCAAGTCGACCATGAACGCTGCAGCAATATATAGGTGTCTATATCGGATTGTTGTTTTGACCGGAAAACATCGTCCTCATCGTCTGAACACGCAGGAACAGACACGGTTCTTCTGGCTTCCCCTGTCCGCTCACCCTATCAATGTGTGCGTTAATGAGTCTCGACGATTACTCGCGTTTTGTGCAGTGTCGGGAAAATTAATTCCGATAGGATCCTCTCGCAAAGTGGCGATGTCGGCGGCATAGTTTACGATCGTAATTTTGTTCGACCTACCGGTTTACATTATATTTGATCGTTTATTATCTATATAGGTACAATCCGCCGAGTACGAAACCGACTATAGGTACATATTATATTATTTTAATGATTCAATTCAACGACTAACTGTTTTTTTTTTTTTATCCACGGATCGTGATTACGTGCGGACGTATTTATGTATACACATCATCATATTATATATTATTATTATATTAATTTATACGCAAGACATGTTCTAGACGTCTTACGGTTAGGACGATCCGTCAGGCTCTGCTGTCTGCAGTTTAAAAATAAATTCAGTTTTATATTTATACGCTAAGGTATACGATTCGAGTATATTATTATACGCCGCGAACGAGTGACGTATGATGCCAGCGGTACCAGCTAGCGTATACCACGGACCGGAAGAGGCTCTGCACCAGTAATATTTTATAGAGAAATTCGGGCAGCTTACACACTATTGCTATGGTTTATACTGCGGTAAYGTCGAACTCTGATAATGTTTTTTCATTCATCGATCCATCGTCGATTTAAGATTTTTTTTTTCTCGTTTTGAACTATTCGTGTCATTTAACGATCGCGGGTATAATAAACGTAAAAAAAAACATTCGATTCAGTATAATATTATACTAATAATGTATATACGATGAAAGGTAAACAGACACGCAATCAAAGTAATTATGTAAACCAAAATTACTGTTTAACGTATACAATATATAATATTGTATGAAATATGAATGTTGAATTTTTACTCGTACKTGTAAAATAAAAGGTGAAAATCTAAAATTTGCTATTTACAGCAAATTATCAACAATCGACTATACAGTAATAATAATAATTTTCTTTTTTCGACAGTGTTATGATAAATAAACGTTCGGGGCTCGTAAAAACTACGTAGTATTACTCCGGAAATGAAAATCACTCCGCGGTATTAGGTACTATTAAAGTATTATAGTGTAACTTATCATAATATTATTGGTACTATACCTATATCGTGTTTGTGGGTTTGAGAAGAAGACATGTGTTGCGCGCCGCGATTATAATAATATAGCAGCTCGAAAAGTATGCAGTGTCATCCTTGGAGGTGGTGGTGATGGCGATGGAGGGAGCTTCAGTATGAATATATTATAATATAAAATAATCAACGAGGTCGATGTTTCCGATGCGGCGTATTGTTTTTAAGTATCGTGTGTTTACGTTCACGACCCACATGATGCCACTTCAATGTAAATATTGACCTTTTTCGCGCACGTGTGTCGCACGGGGGTCCATCGTCATCGTTGTAGATCGAACTCCAAAGAAAGCCTAAAAATAAATTACTTCCACGGGGCACCGYCRTTTTGCGTTCACGTTTGGTCGGTTCGGGTTTATTTTAATACGTTCGCTACCGTTATCCCCGATAGATGCTACTTGATGTACATCAGCAGCAAAAGTCTACATAATTTCACGACGGTATGAATATAATTTACTGACGCCGATCCGTCCCATACCTTTTATATTATGTAATGTTTGTGGTGACTGTTTTTAGTGAAAA